AATTTGCCAACCAACCACGTTGCGCTCCACCACGGCAACCGTCGTCGCGTCACGGCTCGCAACAAAGTTCTCCTCCAAAGGACGGGGAGCGTCGAGGGGAGAGGCGGATAACGACGAAACCTACTGAAAGGCGCGTACCATAAAAATGCGCGGCATCGTTGTCGCGCGAAACGACGGAATTGTCAAGCTGAAACGAACGAAAAGCGAAAAAAAAGAAGGAGAAAGAGGGGAAATTACGTTTCCAGATTACCGGGCTATTTTTCATTATACTCGGCGCCGCGAGCAATAACGAGCGCCACGTTAATTTTAATTTAATATGAAAGCTAACGAACGATGCGCGCGTAAATCGATATTTCTGTTTGCCGATGAAAAACTAACAGACGTGCGACGATTCAATAATACCGGAATCCAAATAAAGAGTAAAATAACGGTCGCAAATGTCACGTATTTGCATAACGGAGGCGAGGAGCGCACAACAAAACATAAATATTATTCGCAAAAAATTTTCTTCGCCCGGTTAAACAAACGCGGCGCGAATGGCGCTGTATCTTGGTGCGCTCTATTTGCACAGAGAGATTTACATATGTCGGTTTTTTACGCGGGAAAATATCTTGACGCGCGGAGAATAACATTTCGCCGTAATTTCATCAACAAGAGTCGAGAACCGAAAAGCGGATGTCAAATAGCGGCTAACTGGAAAGAATGATATTCTCCGAGTTACCAGAAAAACGACAACCCCTGGCTCCCGCGCCGAAGCGCCGTTCAGCCTTTTGAGTCCCGGTGTTTTATTAAGGGAATTTAATGTTACTTTAACTGACCGATATCAGATAAATGTAAACAGCGTCTGAAAAGTTTAATCTGTAAAGTAGCTTCAGCAGGAAGAAATTAAAACTTTTCATTATGAAAGATTACAAAAAATTAATGAAAATTCGGCTACTTTTACTTTTTTGATTTACTGCACAATAGAGATTATTTCATCCAGTAATATAATTACATCTACACAGTAGATGAATGAATCGAAAGATTTTTATTTATACAGACATACGATATATATTATATAGATATTATTATTTATGTGACATAATTATTTATATTATATTATATTATATTAATTATATTTATTTTATTATATATTATATTGGGTTGTCGGAAAAGTCATGACGTATTTTTTCTATGTTTTTCAAAGGTCATTTATTTAAGAACAATTATCATTGTCATTTATTAAAGAACAAAGATCAAGATACAAAGGTCATTTATTAAAGAACAAAGATCAATTAATGATATATTGCCCGTTTTGTTCGATAATCTTTTGCCATCTTTCAGTGAGCTTCATAATTCTTCGTTCATAGAAGGACTTGTCTTTATCGGCGAAAAATTGAACAAGATGCTGATTTACAGCTTCATTTGAATTGAACGTTATACTACGCAAGGAGTTTTGAAGACAGCGAAACAAGTGGAAGTCTGACGGCGCAAGGTCAGGCGAGTATGGTGAGTGTGGCAATACATCCCATCCAAGCTCCAATAATTTTTGACGGGTGATCAAACTTGTGTGTGATCTCGCGTTGTCGTGATGGAACACAACTCTTGTACGATTAACGAGCTCTGGACGTTTCTGGATGATGGATTCGTTCAAACTGTCCAATTGCCGACAATACACATTCGAATTGATTATTTGGTTCCTTGGTAGGAGCTCAAAAAACACGACACCTTTAAAATTCCACCACACTGAGAGCATAACCTTTCTCTGATGAATGTTTGCTTTTGATGTCGTTTGAGGCAAATCATCACGTCGGGACCAAGACCGTTTGCGCATCACATTGTTGTAAACAATCCACTTCTCATCACCAGTTATCAGTCGCTTCAAAAAAGGATCGTTTTCCTCACGTTTAATGAGCATATCGCAGATGTTTATACGCGCCGTCAAATAAACTTCTTTGGTCCAAATATCGAGCTTGCTTACGTATCCCAGCTTCTTCAGGTCGTGAACGTTTGAATGATGGATCAATAATGGTTCAATATTTCTGCAATCTCTCGTGTCGTGTAACGTGGATTTGACTCGATCAATGCCTTTATTTTGTCGTCAACCTCAATAAGCCTCCCTGACCGAGGAGCGTCTTTGAGATCAAAATCACCAGCAGGAATTTCGTGAACCATCGTTGGCACTGACGTTTTTGTTTTAACAGCATTATCACCGTAAACTTTACGCAACTTTTCACAAACTTGACGCGCGTTCTTCCCTTTACGGAAGTAAAACAGTAATATATGGCGAAAATGCACAGTTTGGTCTTCCATTTTCAACTTGTTATAAAATCTCCAAAACTCAACCAAATCAATTTTTTTTTTAGAATAAAGTTAGAACTGTCAGCTGTCAGCTGTCAAGTGACATAGATGCGAATGACTTTAGTACTTCCAAAAATAAACTAGCGCCATCTGTTGCAAAAATGCATCATGACTTTTCCGACAATCCAATATAATTCTCTCTCTATCTCTTATATTATATTTATTTATTTCATCAAATATTATGACGTTATTATTTATATAACATATTGTAAATAGACATATTATATCCTCTCAAGGATACGCACATCACATCAGGATTCGAAAGTTCGATAATTTGTCAAATGCGCACGCGCTCTCTCCCCTCTTTTTGTCGTTTAACTCAAAATATAATTTTTAACATTCAGCTGGCGTTCAACCGCTATTCCGCCATTTAAGATCGATGATTTATCAACGTCATTTATTAATCTCGCGTTTCCGCTTGCGATTCACGTCGCCGACTCTTACTCAGAGTTTTTGCGAACAGCACCCGAGCGGAAGTACCGGGTGGAATTTTCCGGCAAGTATAATACGCGTTTACGACGCGAGGGGGAAAACCGCGAGGCGCGCGCCGCGAATCATCGTCTACCTATTGTTTTATTATAGACGACAGGATAAGGTTGGTTCCGGGTGTAGGGCGGTAATCTTTCTCTCCCAGCGTGAAATATGCATCTACAATTGCGAGCTTCACGGTACGCCAGGGATTATATTCTCAGCAGTCATACTTGTTGTTCTATTATACATGGCAAGAGAAAGGTATTTCCCTTAAGAAGAGCCCTCCACCCTCTCCTCCTCCTCCTCCTTCTCCCCACTTCTCTGTCCCCACCCTCTTGCCGCCATTATACACAAGACTCGAAGTTTAAACTACTCTTCTGCTATAATGCTCCTTATACTTGAGATATTTTCAGGTGCACGGTTTTAATCTCGCAAATTGACGCAACTTCGCGTACATTTACAAGTCTTTCTCGCCAAGGTGAAACGTACCTAGTTCCCATTGGCTCGATGAAACCGCAGTTTGGAAAAGATGCGAGATCGTGACTTTCAGATTTCAAACCGCGACCTTTTATTCTAATTCCGCACCAACTCTTACAATTGTCTCACTAAAATCACGTTGATTTTTTTCTTTTTTTTTTAATAAATTTTACGACACCTGGTCGTTTCTCTTTGTTGGTTTACGTATTCTCTGGAATGTGCTGCAGCGAGGAAAAGTATATAAAGAGACAAAGTCTATGGAGAAATCTTGAAAAGTTCCACCGTCACTTTCCGCTACACCGCTATATCACAGGTGCTTTCGCAATCGCAAATCGAGTTAACCTTCTAGAGCGTGATACGTGGAATATTGACCACGCTGTCACCGTGCGTCATGCTGGGGAAAGAAGAAGAGAAGGGCGACGGAGTAATCTAGGAGAATGGAATTTTTCGAAATTATGCGGCGAGAACCTCCGTCCAGGCGGAAACTCTAAGAAGGACATCGATCATCCTCTGACGCGAGCATACAGCCACATCCGCGCGTGTACTCTGACGCTATTACATATGGTTCAGTTTTCCCCTGAATATAATAAAACAAAGCAACATATATGTACGTATGTTCTGTATGTACAAGAAATATGAAAAGGATAGCGTGTTAGTGATGATCGTCTCTGCGTTATATTGTCGAGTTCGTCATCAATATCCCTTTAAGGGGATGCTGGAGTCGATGACAAACTCGAACAATGTCGATAATACAGAGACGATTGCCACTAACTTAATCACGTTATTCTTTTCGTATTTCTTGTATATACAGAACTTACATGAATGTGTGTTGCTTTGTTTTACCACATTCAACGAAATCTAATCATATATATGTAGAAATCTTTCTGCAATCTTGTTCGATATTCTTAAGTTTCCAAATGCAAATGCGAAGGTAGAGCAATGTTCTTCAAAATTTTTGTTTGGAGCACCCACATTTTCGGTATGTACAAGCTGCGGAACTTTTGGATTAGCCAAATATTAATTAACTTTTGGATTAGACTAACTGACAGCTTGAGATTTTACATTAAAATTTTTTGTTTATTTTCGTCACATATTAAGCTCTTATTTATTTTTGCACGTACTTTCATTGCATCAAAGCATTTGTAATTCTATGTAACCAATATGACGTAAACTTTGCAGAAAAATGTCAATGTTCTGTCGGTGAAGTTTTCAGTTTCAGCATTTCCTTAACACATTGAGACTTGCAGAGGACACCAAAGGTTTATAGATATAGTTGTACAATGAAGTAGCCAATCGTAAAGAACTACATATATAATGAGAAACTCACGACGAGTGAGTCGTGTGACTTCCGAGTGAATTCCGAGCAGTGCAGAAGGAAAAGTCACGGACAGCGGTTGAGCGTAGTCTATTCATCGATAACTGTATATGTTTATGTTTTCCATAGTTTATTAATTGGTCATCGTACCATGATGAACGAAAAACATAAAAAGTTTATTCCAAAGATTACACGCGTGAACGACAAAACAAGACAAGAGCGACAACCAACCGGAGAAATTTAGATCGCACTAAGACACTTAGGGTAACATATTTATTTTAGCGTGTACAATTTAAACAGAATGCAATTATAACGATATTATTATGATTATAACGTTTATAACAATCATATGATGATTACAATAGTATTACTTGCACAAACAAGCGTATCTGACACGATGGAATCTAAAATGCCTTTGAACAATGATGTTTTGACAAAAGAAGAAGAGTTGCGAAAACAAAAGAGTACTTGGAGTGCTTTAAGGAATTTACATTGGCTATATGTTCCTTATTTCATCTACGCTTACGTTTCTGGTCTTTACGGAACATATTTGATACTCTTTGAAGTTAAATTTCTCACCGTTATATGGGGTATTTATTTATTTCATCCAATGATATCGACACTAATTTTGTAACTGCATAACTTTCATAACCAGAAAAGTCATAGTGTATGAAAATTTGCTTTAATGAATGCAGTGATATGAGCAATACTATATCTGTTCACGTATTATTGGCAAAAAATAATTGTTCGTCAAATTTCAAGTATTATTCATATATATTTTGCTATGATAGGCGTCACTGCTGGTACTCATCGATTATGGGCACACCGAAGTTACAAGGCAAAATGGCCACTGAGACTTTTCCTGATGATTTTACAAACTAGCGCGTTCCAAGTAAATTTCGTATTTACATCCCTTTTACTTTTTCTTTCTGAAGTTTCTGATTTAGAGCGCCAAAAGCAGCACGTTTAAAAATTCGTTCTTATAAACGTTTTTATAAAAAATCTATAAAAGGTATTTTTTGTTTACCGAATCGACTACCTCTTAATTTTCTGCTATTTTTCCAAATTTTTATCTAATATTTTACACAAATATTTTCAAAATTTGAGGCTTCAAGAAAAAAAAAGAAAGAAAAAGCAGAGAAAACTTTTCGAAAGTCGACGAAGTTTTAGATAAAAAAACTTTATCAACACGTTGCGTTTACCGAGACCATGCTCTCGTGTTGCCTTTTATTATTAAACATTCACGTCGCAATAACATTTCAATATATGATTTCCTAGTATGATAAACTCATTTCAATATATGATTTCCTAGTTTAGCATTTATAGCTGGTGCCGAAACTATAGATTACATCACAAATTTAGCGACACCGATGCGGATCCGCATAACGCGGATTGGCTGATGATACGTACATGGCATCCGGATGTTACAGCAAAACGCTCAACAATCGATTTGAGTGATCTCGACCAGGATCCTATTGTGGCCTTTCAACAGAGGTAAGCCGAGCATAGTCTTTTATCGCGCGAAGAAAAATGTTACTTGTGTCTGAACTAATCAGCTCAATGTCGTTCTTTGTTCTTCTTAGATGGTACTTTATCCTGCTAGCGATTTTCGGCTTCATTCTACCAATATTAATACCCTACTGGTTTTTGGGTGAAACACTGTGGTGTGCATTGTTTGCCAACATGTGCTGGTACAACGTGATTTTAAACAATTCGTCTTTTGTTAATTCTGTGGCTCACAAATGGGGCATGACACCCTACGACAAGTACGTGGTAATCACTTTGTAACATCTCTAAATTTCTTGGAATAAAATACTATTCATAAAGGATAGAGTGACAACCGAGTGTGTGTCACTTGAATTCGAATCATTTTTCATTCTTTTTCTAGAGCGAATTCTTTACACTGAATCTTTGAGTGACTATTTTCACTCAAAATTGAAAATTGAATCTAATATATTTTATCATCAAAGGAATATATTTACTCCAGTCAAATGAAACATTTTCATTTGAATAATTCATTTGAAGAAATATGAAGTCAAAATTCATTCTAAACTCGAGTGAAAATGTTCACTTCTGTTCGAGTAATAATATTTTCATTATTGCTTCTAGTAAAAATACTGTCACTTTTCACTCGTTTCAAGTGAGACTTCATTCCAAGAAAATTAGGAAATACGCAACACGTTTGTTACTGCAGTTCAATTGAGGAACCGTTTTCACTCATACCCAAAATCTGTTTTACACAATAATATGAAAAGAAAGAAATACGACCGACTCGTATTTCAATTTTTTTCATGTCATTGTGTGAAACAGATTTAGTTTGTTTAAGTAGACATAGAAAGAAAAATATGATCGCGATATGTCACATAGCGTCATACAGTGGCTGATATTTCGTGAAAGATCTGTTCGTTATACATGTATGGCGCTGGTAGCGAACGTGTTAACAAAAATCTGCAAATCGTGACCACTGGTTGGAATTGTTGCTCATAAATATTTAATTTTAAGGACGATCAGACCAAAGGAAAATTTTGTTATTGCTTTATTAACGTTGGGCGAAGGATGGTATAACTATCATCATACTTTTCCTTGGGACTATCGCACATCTGAGTTTGGGAAGGTGAATCCTAGTGCAGCATTCATCAACTTTTGCGCTTTCCTTGGTTTGGCTAATGACTTGAAGATCACGAGTCCAGAATTGATAAAGCAACGTGTTATTCACAATAACAAAATAACTCATATTAATAAGGATATAATTGTAAAAGAAGAATCGACATTAAAATGTGAATAGATGTGTCTCTTTCTTCGAATATAATATAGAATATGATGTATTGAGACATATAGTGTGCGTCAATATATAGAGTGGCGGTAATATCTAATGTTACATGGTTGTTTAAAAAATATTAGGGGATTTGTTGTTTAAGTTGATATATTTTATTTGTACACCGTTGCGAGATGCCGAATATCTTGTAGAATACAGTGTATAACTTGATATATTATAAAATATATAAACTTTACTTCGACTATAAACAATTTCTCAATTTTTAATACAATATTAGATGATAAGCATAATTTAAAAAGCGTTAATTTTTCTAAAAATTTAGAAAGAGTAGTATAAACATATAACATCCTATTTTTTTCAAAAGAGTATTTCATGAAAGTATCTTTAAAATCATAAAGTTGTGTAAACACATCAAGCTACCCAAGATATTTCTTTTTATCTCTCACGGTCTTAAAGATATTTGCTTAGAAACATAGAGACTGATTCTTTTTTCTTAAAAAAGTATTTCACTAAAGTGTCTTTAATCTCTTAGCTACGGTAGGACTTTAGGCGGAGCTATATCGTTGTACGGCAAAGTTCAACGCGGACTACGCGAAAACAATGCAACACTGCGATTTATATCTGATAATACTTTTCTATGCAAATACAGAATACAGTTTTAAATAAAGAAATTATAATTTATTAGAAATAAGAATGAGCCATTATAGTGGCGTACCGTTCAGAAAGATGACATGCGCGAAAGACACTATAATAGCGTACAATACCTAAGAGGTTAAAATTCCATAAAGCCGTAAATCAAATATTATAAAACTAATATATTTTTTCCTCTTTCATCGTCTTCAACATATTTACTAAAAGACATAAAAGCTAATCTTTTTTAAAACACATTTTATTTCTTAAACCAGTAATTGAGTATTTACGAGAGATGTTTTTGCTTTTTATTTAGATCCAGATTATAATATGTTCAAAGCGAATAAAATTCAGCGCGGGACGCTGTTATGGGTTTCCATGTTGGAATATTTCAAAATATAACTGTCTTCTCTTTGTCCATAATGTTGCGTCTAACAGCAATTTTCCTACTGATGTTTTCGACCAACAATTCCGCAACCGCATGCTACGCGATTGTTCGTATCCTACGTATGTTTTACCGAGTAACGAGACGGAGGTTGTCTGCCGAGATGTTATTTCAAATATGCGTTCTCAACGTCACCCCTTCCGCTTCCACGACGACGACAACGACGACGGAGACGGAGACGAAGACGACGAGGACCCGGGGAAATTTCTGCTGGGCCGATATTGGTTTTCGCGGTACACGTAATGTCTTTCTCGACAATATGTAGAACAGGTCTGAGTAACACCGAAGGAAGAGGAGCGAGCGAGAGAGACAAAGAGAGAGAGAGAGAGAGAGAGAGAGAGAGAGAGAGAGAGTCGGGAAACATTGCGTTCCAAGAATTTCACGTTTCCCCTTAGACTTCGGAATGGATTGCATTCTGCTCCTCGGCCATTCCGCTTACATATACCTAATTCCAATTCGCGTTGTCATCCTCCATATGCGCTCGTCTTTTCGTTTATCGTCCATCTCACCATCATTCTTTCCGCTTTCATCTTCCGTGCACGTGTTCTTTCGGATCTCGATCACCTCGTCATCGTCTTCCCGATCTTTATCCTCTTTCTCGGCTATGTTCTCATCCTCATCGTGGATTTCTAGGACAATCGTTCTGCTCCAGGACAATTGTCTTTTCTATCTCTTTCGTGGTATTTTCTTCCTCCTTCTTCCTCCTCTCCCGCGGATCTTCCCACTTTCTCGCATTTGCATTTTCAGCGTTCTCCGTCATTCTCTTCCTCCAGCTCGTTCAGCTCTCATCCTTATTATTTCCGTTTTAAGCGTCCTCTGCCTCCGCCAATACCCGACAGGATATTCCCTCGCGTTCGATTCGGCAGGGCTCGGAACGATCCCTTGGCAGCAATCCGACTTCCCGGTGGACCAACTCGTTATTTTTCGTACAACCGACGTGTGCGGAGCAGAGAAACGGGGGTTGCCGCCCCCGTCGACGATGCGGTTGTCCGACCGGCTGTTTTCCATCGTGCGGTAAACGGCGGATACGTCGGCGGACCGGCATCGAGAGTACCGCCGAATCTCGGCGGTATGTCGTTCCATGCAGCTAGCACGAGATTTATCGCGTCGATCCTCCTTACAGCTCTCTTATGCTTCTTTCCTGTCGTCCTTATCCTTCTTTCCGTCCTTCTGCCGCTCGCGTTTGTCTCCATTCGGCTTTCGAATCCGAGTGTTACATTTCGCGATGTCGCGGAAGTCGAAGCGCAGAAATGGAAATAACAGGTCACAACATAATAGCGTGCGAGATGCATTATGCATATTCGCGCAGGTATCATCCGCATAAAAACTGAGTTTCGTTTTTAATATTTATGGGAACGCGACGTTAATATGTGCGATTCGCTGTAATTATTTCTCGATGAGCTCACGAGTGAATCAAGAGGCACGACACGTGCCGCGATGTCAAATACACAATCCAATATAATAGCCTTAACATTTACTAGGCTTGATTTCAAACGAATTTCTCGATTGCGTTCAATATGTTTATACACTCGTGTATTATAATTGTCGATTATTTCAACAAGCGTCGAGGAAGCGGCTCTGTCGAAATAATCAACACTCTGAGAGAAAAAATGGTTACTTTAACCAAAATTATATTACAGTTATCTAAAAAAAATTATAAAATTATATAATAATAATTTTTTAAAAATTACGAAAATTATAAAAATATTCATTACTTTTTAAAAATTATTCTTTGTCTCAACTATATTTTTTTAGTAAAATAGTAAAATAATAATATGCGCATATAATATTATATTTCAACTAACTTTATAGTAAATTTTAATTGAAAAATGATTTATAGTAATTATTTTTCTATGTGACATAGTTACAAATGCCAAAACTTTTTTCTCAGTACAGTTATGATACATATACATGTATTACGCGCAATCGAACAATTTATTTAGGATTAGAGTTAAAGTTAGTATTAAAGTAAGTTAAAATTACTATGCTAGATACTATATGATACTACATGAAATGATAGATCGATTACAAGACTATAATCGCGATGAAAATGTCACTGTATTACTAATACCTTGTCCAAAATTTTCGAACGAATTTTTAATTAAAATTTCCCAGAAATTATGGCGGTAATAAAAAATATAATCAAAAAATTGGAAAAAAGGGCAATTCGAGTTCAAGCACAGGACTAATAGTGCTATATATCATATCGGTAAAAAACCTTCCTTGTGTTAGGAAATCGTGTAATATTTATTGAATATGGATAATCAATATAAAAAATATAATCAATATAATCATACGTTTCGGCTCATTCCCTCTTCAGTGGTAATAAAAAACTCAAGGTTTACGATACGAACGGATTACAATTAGTTAAAGACCTGCGTAAATTGACATGAATGTTAATCGCAATATTAAAGCCGACAAGACCGTTAACAAAATAATATTAAGTAGTTAATTAATATTGAGAAGTAGCCGTCATAACTTTGTTGAGTTCAGCTAAAAGTAAACCGATCCTGTCAACGATAACATCGCCATATTAGTCCTGTGCTTGAACTCGAATTGCCCTTTTCTCCTATTTTTTGATTGATATCTTCGTTTGCGAGTTCTTTTTTCTTTCTCTAAAAAATATAATGACTTTCTGCCCCCTTACGTAGTATTGATGTAAACATTCCAATTGTGACTACTCCAATTAAAATTATAATTAAAGTATAGTCGATCTTGAGATCTCATAATTCTCAGAAAACGTAAGAAGAAATTGATTTCCCAGAAATCCAAGTGCACACGCACACACTCCAAATAAGTTTATCGGTGGGTTAATCGAAGGAGAACTGATAACTGAACAAAACTATAAAAAAACGTAGCTATCCTTGGACAATATATTCACACATCTACAGTGCGAAGAGAAAAGGCATTGGTAATAATAGTTATTGCCACCTTTCATTCGCCTTTCGAGTTGCTGTACTAAATTAGGTGACGACTGAAAGAGAGAGAGAGAGAGAGAGAGAGAGTTGTCTCCCCAGTGCAAAGGGTTAATGCGAAATCGTTCCGATTTAACGAGTTGCAAATTCAGAGGAACGCTAGAACTAGAATTCCCTAGACGAAAATTAACCTGAGACTCCAGACTAGAATTAAACAACGATTGTGCCATGAAAATGTACGATAATTGGATTTCTTTGGGATGTCGTTGATGAGGTAGTTGATGAACGTCATCGAATAGCGGAGGCGCCTCAAACATGAATTTTCTGCCTTCATGTAAAATTACGTAATAAACCTCGAGTGAATCGGCGCGACTCGTATTCGCGGGTCGCGATTGTTTTCTGGCACTAGCTAAGCGCTATAGCGATATTTTACGAACTGTCGAATCGCGCGACGACAACTTCAAGATTTATTGCCTCTTTGCCGTCTACCAACCCGACCACTTCTCTTTCGCCGTTCTGTTTGCCTTTTTATTCCGCTTCCACTTCTCTTTCTCCTATGCTATCTCCACGGTGCCTCTTTCCTCCACGGCGTATCAACCTCTGTCGCTCCCTGTTTTTCCGCGATTCAGCCTTCGAGATCCTGTTACCATGATTAAAAGAATCCGTCGACTTCCCTGAATCCTCTGGAAAGCTCACTGAGCTTCTCGAAAAAGCCCGCTTCCTCTTTTCTCCTTTTCTCTATCCCTTTCTCCTTCACTCCTTCCTCCTCTTCTTTCTCTTTTTCTACTTCGTTCTCAACATATCGTTTGATATTTAAGCGTATCGAATTTTCCAACGGGTTGTAACGACGAAATATTATTACATCGTGAGCGGAATACCGCCAACGGTGCAGGCCCTTGACTATTACGGGTCAAAACAATTTCTTGTCGCGTCCGACCAGGGATGGACGGTGACCTGTCGATGGCTGCCGAAGCAGTCAATAATTCTTCGGCTATTACGCGTAATGTTCAGAGGAGAAT